CAATAGACCCTGACAGAAAGAGAGCCGAAGTGAGGAGAAGGAGGAGGAGAAGAAGGAGGAGGAGGAGGAGAAGGAGGAGGAGAAGGAGGAGGAGAAGGAGGATGAAGACGAGGACAAGGAGCGGCAGCGCCAGCAAGGGGGGGGGGGGGATTAGGAAAAGGAGCATTGATTGACCTGAATGTATTTGACGGTGACCTTCTCATTCCCAGCCTGAAGAAATCAAAAAATCAAAAGAGAGGAGGAGGAGGGAGGAGCAGGGGAGGGAAGGGCGAACATGCCGAGGAGGAGGAGGAGGAGGAAAGAGGAGGAGGGGGACAGAAAAGGAAGGAACAGGAGGAGGGGAACAGAGAAGGAAGCAAGAGCAGGAACAGGAAGAAGGAACAGGAGGAGGGAGCAGGAGGAGGGAGCAGGAATATTTGACTCACTTCGTAGTAGTACAAGTAACGATCTAAAATCTCAATGAAAAGGTTGACATTGTTGGAAGACTGCCAACAAAAGGCGTCAGGTCATGCGAGGAGGAGACGATGGTGACGGGACGGAAAGGAACGGAAGGGATTAGCAGAGGAGGGGGCAAGGGGCGTGAAAAAAGGAGAGGACGCGGGAACGAGCAGAAGGAGCAGCAGAAGGAGCAGGGGGGCGGGGATCATTGGTCACCTGCATGCAAACATCTGCAATCTTAAGCGACCGCTGCAAGCAGTCCAACACCTGGAAGAAAGACAGAGCATGACAGGAGGAAAGATGTGAAAGACCCTCCTCCCCCCCCCCTCCCTCCCCCTGTCTCCTCCTCCTCCTCCTTCCTGTCCTCCTCCTCCTCCATCCATCCATCCATCCCTCGTTCATTCACTTACCCTCTTCCCGTCCTGGAAAGTTCTTCCATCTTCGTACTTGACTCCAGCATTCCAGAAGAGGTGTGAGCATGTGTACACCTGGAATATCATCACTACCATCTCTATGTGCTCCTCTCCATCATCATTCTCCATCATCATCATCTTTTCCACAGCCAAAAACACCACTGCCCTTATCGTGCCCACCACCACCACCACCACCACCACCACCATCATCATCATCATCATCATCATCATCATCATCATCATCATCATCATCATCATCATCATCATCATCATCATGGCCATCACTCACAGCTCTGCACTGATCAGGCTTCTTGAGCAGTCTCGCTGCGTGTTTAGTTGTGTTGGTGATAAGCGTGTCATAGTCCTCAGGGTCGAGGTTGTTGAGGAGGAACAGCGTTCCCGCTGCTTCAAGAACTGCAAAGGAAGGTGAGAAGAGGACAAGAAAAAGAGAGCAGAGGAGAGGAGATGAACGGAGACAATAGAAAAGGGAGGTCGGAAGAACGGGGAAATCATAGGAAAGAGAGGGGCGTAGGAGAAAATGCAAGAATAGGAAGGGGGGGTGAGGAGGAGGAGGAGGAGGAGGAGGAGCAGCAGCAGCAGCAGCAGCAGCAGCAGCAGCAGCAGCAGTCTTCACCTAACTCCATCTGGATCTTAGAGTCCGACACCTCGTCCTCGTACAGGATGAACGCCTGGGAGACGAGCTCGTACGCGATCTTGTCCTCCCCGCACTTGTTGGCGATCAAAGACGCCTGCAGGAAGAGTCGCAGCGCCATGACTGGCTCCGCACTTGCCAGCCCCTTAATGGTCTCAAGGGTGAAGCCGAAGACTTTCTTGGCTGAGATCGTCCCTGCCCGCTCTCCTCCTCCCTCTTCCTCCTCGTGGACCCGTTCCGCCAGCTCCAGCGCGCGGACGACCATGGGGACGAGGGTGAACTTGATGCGCCGGGGCCCTCCCTGCCCGAAGTGCTTGCGAGCTCCTACGAGGATGGCATACTGGGTGTCTGTGTCAGAGCTCTTGAAGTTGTGGATGAGGGCAGCAATCAAGTTCTGCTCCGTCTCCATCTCCTCCTCGTCAAGCTCATTCTGGGAGGAAGCAACAGTCAGCAGGAGGAAGCCAAGGGGTCAGAGTGCAGGTGGGAAGGTCGGGGAGGGGAGAGCTGAGATGTGCGCGATCATCTTGAATCGTGCTGTGTTGGAAGAAACAGCAACACAACACAATCACAAGACTATCACAACACGAACAGTCGAAACACGATGAACGCATTGGATGGACAAGGACGGAAGACGGGAAGAAGAAACAAAGATCCTTGCATCACGCATTCTTACACTCACCGGCCCGTCTTCCTCAACATCCTTCACAAGGGGCTGAATGAAGTTCAACAAGCTGTCGACCTGCAGGGAGAAAATCAGAGAAATTTGGGTGAGATAGAGGAGGAGAAAGGGGAAGAGAAGGTGGAGGCGGACGAGGAGGACAACAGCGGGAAGGTAGAAGCAAAGGGAGAGAGTTCAAAGGGGCAGCAAAGGAAGGATGGGAGGAGGAAGGAGGACTGGGGTTGCCTGTTCAGGGGTTGGCACTGGAGTCTTGGAGGAGAGGAGCATCCTGACTGCGAGGGTAGCGACTTCGGATCGCGACTCAAGGGGAAGGTAGATCATCAAGCCAGCATAGTGGGGAAGGGCAAGGATGGTGAGAGGTTGCCCGTTGGAGATGAGAGGAGTCTGCATGAAGAAGCGGGTCAGATCCAGGCCAGATCGACGGAGACAGAACAGATTACATAGCCATCATCATCTAAAGCATCTCTGGCGTGACCATCGCAATGATCATTATCATCAATTTCATCATCATCTCCAACTCAAAACAACACAGTTCATCCTTCATGCTCATAGATGCCACCATTTCTCCGCATCTCATCGTCCACATTTACCTTGAGGAGCTGTACGGTCGAGTGCTTCGCCGGGCCCGACAGCCTGGTCTCTCCGTTGGACTGCAGGAGCTGGGCGCACACTGCCAGTGTCTGATCCACAAAGTCCAGCCGGTCCGGAGCAAAACCGAGCGCAAAGTTCACCAAGGCGACCTGCAGGAGATGTCAGATGTCAGAGGAGCAGAGGTTCACGAGGCCCTGACCTGAAGGTCCAAGGAGGCGGCGAGCTCGAGGGTGTTGGAACCAGTCATCTTGGAGACGTGGGAATGGAAGATGGCAAGCATGTCGACGTCGGAAGGAATTTGTGCGGGCTCGGCCTTGGCAAACGCGGCCAGACGGTTCATGAGAGCTACGAGGATCGCCTTGACGTCGACCCCGGACTGAAGTTGAGGGCAGGTAGCCAAGAACTCCTCGAGGGTGCGAAGGTGGAACTCGTCGGGGAAAACCTGGATGATCACTTCCATGAGGTACTGCTGGGCAATCTGGTCCTTGCAGCTGATGACTTGCTCCAGGATACGGGGGAGAACTTGTGTCTTGTACATGTCTGCATCGATCCCCTCAAGGTTAGAGAGCCTGACCAGGTTCGTGCCCACGAGGATGCGCAGGTCGAGTCGCTCTCTCTCCCTCCTCTCTCTGTCGCGCACGGGCCCCTGATGTTGCATGCGGACCCACAGCTTGTTCATCTCCGCGAAGTTGTGCATGAGGAAGTCGATGCCGTCTGCCACGTCACTGCCGTACTCCGAGCCGATGTCAGGCAGCTTGTCCCTAGCGCATTGAAGCAGGTAGTTCCTCAAGAACAGCCCTCGCATCGGGTGCTGGACTCCTCGGCACATCTCCACCAGATCCTTGAGGATGTCTCGTGCAGGGGCCTCCTTGGACCTGATGTACACGCTTCCAACTGTGATGAGAAGAAACAACCTCGGGACTATGTTCCCAGCATGCTGCACCAGCTCGTACAGCTCGACCATTCTCCTCCCTCTCTTCCACTCCTCCAAGAAGTACTGCTCCAGATGTCTCATCTCATCCGCAACCTGCAGACAGCACAACAAGGTCATCCCCTGCCCTTGGATAGCATCGGGCACTTTTTACCATGATGTAAAGTTCGTAAAAATTCTTGGGAGAGAGAAGACCGGTTCTGAGCTCGCACAGCATATTGCTTCCGTACTTGAGACCGTCACGCAAGTTGGTGTTGTCGAGAGCTCGCTTCATCAAGAAGGCCTGCTGCTTCACAACAGCCTTGCCCTCCTCCAGCCATCGTGCCTGTACGGAAAACCACCAGTGAGTTGAAACAAACAGACAGATGGTTTCTCAACTGAGCGAAAAAAAACCAGGAAAGCTAACTTAATTCTTCTTCTTGCCCTCATCTCAAACAATTCTCGTCTGCATCGTGGACTCGACCTCTACACTTATGCCATGACATACACATGCGACTCTTAATCTCGCGTCATGTTCTTTCGCTCCGGCTCACCATAGCCTCACTCATCCTGCACTCCGCATCGCTCAGAAATCTTCTTCCTATCAACTTACTCATTCATATCCTTTCATCGCTCATCCACCACCCACCTGCCTCGTCTCACTTCCTCACTTTCCAACGACAAAACAATTTGCAGCATCTGACACAGCTGCTCTTGGTCGTGCCACGCTGATACCGTATGCTCTCCTGCTCTCCATGCTCTCCTCGTCTCCTCCTCTCCTCCTCTCTTGCTTCCCTCTCCTCTCATGCTTTTCATTCTTCTACCTGTTGCTCTTCCGGCGTTAGCTGCTGTTCCGCCATTGCCAGGTCAGCGCCTCGGCCGTTACAAGATGGTTACAAAGCATATTTCAGTCATAATCGTATACTAATTTAGGCCGTGACCCGGGCCCGGCCCGGCCGGAGCCTCGGAGCCCGGTGGCCGGGCCGGGCCCGCCGGGGGGCGCGGCAGCACTGCCGGCACACTGACGGTCGGACAGCCTCAGGCTCGGGCCCAACGTGTCTCAGTCGTCGGAGTTTTGGCTAACCAACCGTTGGCAACCGTTGAACCCTCACTCAGGCTGAACAGGCTTCAAGTTAATCGGATTTCCCGGCCCGGAGTCCGCGCAGGACTCACCGTTGTAAGAACTCGGATAAGTTCTTGGAGACGGCGAGAAGTTCAGGGTATTGCGTCTCATCCGTGGACGAAGCTCAGCGAGATGGAAGTGGGTTTCGACATAGGTCTGGAATTGAAGGAATCGACGAGCAGTGAGGGTCAGGCGGAGAAGAGGGGGTTAGGAGCACACCGTGTCCACGGCGCGCTGTGTCTTGTACTGGGTTGCAAGGGACTGAAGGGAAGGTGACTGCTGTGAATAAAGGAAGTGTTGGTGGTGTTCTGTGGTTCTCAGAGTCTGAGAGTTCTATCATCATCAGTGAAGGTGTTAGAGACTGCACAGCTGTGTATCGTTGAGGTGAATAAGGTTGGTGTAAGGATCTCAGGTGTACTGAGAGTTAGTCTTTGGTGGATCTTGGGTTAAATAGGTTCTGGCCAGTGAGGTGGAACGGTTGATTCGATTACAAAGAGAAAATTTTCTCTTTGTTCTCAGTTCTCATTTTTTACTGTTGTTGCGCAACTGTGATTTACCGTACGGTCTGAACTGGAACAAAGAGTAAGTTCGGTTCACTGCCGTTATCAGATATGATGCGTTGAACTCCGTTTCTCTTGACACTTTTCTCCTCCTGTCGAAGTAACTCCATCAGAACTTCATGATATCACTCGTTTGACTCGTGGACTTCATGGGACGCACAATCAGGTATCCGGAAAAAGCGTCGACAACTATAAGAAAGTAACGATAACCCGATGGTTCAGAGACTGCAATCATATCTTTCAAGTCAACATACCACAGAGCATTTACATCTCCAACACGTTCCTGTCGAAATGAGCCTCGGTTTGTTTGTGAACAGGACGTGACACAAATTTCGAAATCCTACACACGTGACACGGAGAATGAATCAACCGCCTATTGAATGTGATGTATTTGACCGTGTCTGCAAGCAGCCGCGTTTATCATCGCGGCATCCATCTCCTTGCCATCAGAATCCCTTCGGCTTACCCCCTTCTTTTTCTTCTTGCCAGAAGCACTCACTGGATTGCCGGAATCACCGTCATCAACGGGACTACCATACTGATCCGACACCGTCTTGGACAAATTTTGCAACTGCTCCACATAATCTCGAATCTGCCCGCTCTTCCTCCAACAAAAGCATATTGGGATTCAGGGGGCTGCACCGGTATATGAAATTCCAGGATTACTGATTAGCGCTTTGAATGACCGGTACTTTTGACTGCTCATATACGGGTACTTGCCCTCGCACAGAAGCACCCTTTTACCCCCATTATCATCTAGTAATAGGGGGTGGGGTATTTGAATTGTCATGGGCGGTAACCTTCAAGACCACCCCACTCCCCTCGAAACTTTTAACAGACGACATGTTTTAAGGCTGCGAAAACGTTTTAGAAGGATACGGATAATCATAAAATAAATATAAATTGGAAACACAGTAGAAAAGACTTAGAAATTCAATACAAAGATTCGAAAATATTTTGTACCTGATTCAAATTCATTGTGTACTGTGTTTCTGGGTTTGGTACAAGAATGAAGTCACCGGGTCCTTTTCTGCTAGTGCTTTCACAAATAGGGGGTAGGGTAGTCCCCCCTGTTCCCCACCCATCCCTATTTCAGGGATTTGAATTTTTTCCACAGGCCAGTCGCCACGGCACAAGTTGAGAGACATGTCAGTGGGATCTTGAAATTTGGCTTGGCATTTTGAACATTAAAACATTGATTAACCATGTCAGGACCAAATCTATCAAATCCGTCATCCCCACCTTTGCAAGGAAGTTCGTGCAGACGTCGCAAACAAACGATCACCCTGGAAGACGATGAATTGCTCACCTGGGAGTCTCTGGCAAGTCGAGCGGGCTTCCTCTATAAACAAGGAAAATGGCAAGGACAACCTAATGTCAATGCTTGCCTGAAGACCATAGGTTTGAAAAGAGATTATTTGTATAATTCAAATCTTTGTAACACCTGGGATGCAGGTAGATCTCCTGAGTTGTTGCTTCGAATCTTACAAGAGTATGAGGAGCAGAGAGGTTTTAGTCATCATGTGGATGAAGCCATACGCGAAGGGATTATTTCCGACTCTGATGAACCAATTCCGGCTTCTTACGATTCTATCAAAGATCCAAAAGTGAAAACAGCGATTCTGAAGAAGATCCAGGGTGACACTGATGAGGACCTTCTAGATGTGGTCACGAAGAAGGTAGATCGGCACTTTGCGTCACACAAGGCCAATTGTCGAGTGAAATGGGGACATTTTGCTGATCTATCATTTCACCACCAGTGTGAGGATGACTCTGGACAGGAAGCGGCCGAGGGGCCTCGAAAGCAGAAGAAGTGCAAAACTTCGAAATACGATAGCCTTACGTTCTTTGAAGGCATTCTGAGCAGTCAAGCCTTCAAGACAGTCATAAAAAATGAACTTGCCACGAATAAGGAGCTTCAAAACTGCCTGAAACCTGCGGTCAGGCAAATGATGCCGAGCGCGCCAAAGCACAAGTTGAGGAGCGTCAGTGTCTTCCTGAAATAACATCCGAGAGAAGAAAAAAGGGATTTTGATCATTTGAGGTACACAATCTCTCTCAAGCTTCCGAGTTTCCCCGTCATCATCCATCACTAGCGTTACCCTTCTGATTTTCTCCCTCCCTTCTTGGGCGGCAACTCTTGAAATGCGGGGAGAACGCATGTTGGAGGGGCGGGGGATGGTTGGAGGGACGGGGGATTGGTTGTCGGAGGGGCGGCCGGATGGTTGGAGGGGCGGGGGATGGTTGGAGCGGCGGGGGATGGTTGGAGGGGCGGGGGATGGTTGGAGGAGCGGGGGGGGGGGGGGGAAGGGGCCCCGGGGTGGGGGACCGGGTCAATCAGAGGGGTTGCCAGGAGCTTTTGTACCCTATATTCCTCCCAAAATCTCTCAAAAACAACTTTTATGTAATTACTCAAAAATCATTTCTGGTACAAAAATTCAAACCAGGCAGCCCACCCCCATCAAAGAAGGTACCCCAATTGATGAACTACTAATGAGGTGCCGGGAGCGGTGGGAAACTGCCCGGTATGTTTGGCATTCAGGAAAAGCAAAACGACCTGCCTTTTCCATTCCTCCGTCAACTCGCCATCCACATTCACACTGATGACTCTTGTTCTTTTCCCATACAGTATGAAACTCACCACCAAAATTACCGAGTTGATCGAGGGGAAACTCTCGTATCAGCGGGAACAAACACATGCCCAATCCTGTCCGATATCGATTCATTGCATTCTGAATCGGAAGCAAAAGTTCATCCAATTCCTCCTGTGACGTCACAGATGAGATCCTTTGAGGAATATGTCCATCTGTAACTCAGGATGAGTCTTGATCAATTCTTCACTGAGGTCCAATTTTCCTCCTCCCATGGTAAAAGCAATGTCGAAAAATCAGTAGCAACGTTCCACACAAGAATCGACTCCGACAGACGGTAAAAAATGCAAAAAAATCGAGTCCAACTTCCAAACAACGAGTCCAAAAAACAATCGAATCACTGACTCAAACAGTGACCTTCCAAACTGGCAACTTCAAAGCACAAGCGAAAAAAAAATGCAAAAAATCGAGTCCAACTTCCAAACAACGATTCCAAAAACAATCGAATCACCGACTCAAACAGTGAATCTGTAACAACAATGAGGCAGTGAGTTTTCTTCTTCAGAGTTGGAGGCATTCGTTCGTGAGACTGAGGTTTGAAGTGGGATCGGATTCCTGATTACAGTCAAGTCTACAATTCGCTGGCTGAGAGAGGAATTCGAGCAGTCAGTACTATCCACAGAACTTTGCTCAAACAGAGTGCTTTGCCTATCGAGAAATGGGAATTTTCTGTTATGCAGGCTACGTACCTGTACAATGCACTCCCGAGTTTCAGGAAATTTGGCAATCTTTCTCCGTATACAATCTATAATGGAGATGTTTTCGACTTCAAATCTCTCAAGACTCTGACCTTTGGGTGTATGACATTCTTCAAGAATAATGTACGCAGTTCGAAGTTTGAAGATCTAGCTAAACAGGGCATTCATGATGCTCGGAAATGCAAACGCTTTTCCTGGGCATACCATTGGCTACTTGGTATGGTGTGTTGACGACAACAAAATCTATCACACGAATAATCTGACCTGTGATGAATTCTTCTTTCCATTTCGACGTGCGGGACGGATGAATTGGCAAGAGGATCCTGAAGTGGTGGTAAAGCACGATATAGTGCAACACATTGACATGGAGGATGATTCGGAAGTTCGTCTGTCAAGGGTGTTGAAGATGAACGGTCAGAGGCAGTAAATGCTCGGACTAGTGGTCGTCGAAAGCGAACACGGTTGGATGAGGGAGTAAGGGCTGCTGAGATGTTGTGCCAGGATAGCGATGAAGATTATGTGCCTGCAGTGATGGTTGACGGTGGACAAGAGGATGCGGATTGCATACGGATACAGAGGCAGCGTCGTCGACCAAAACATGTCGTACCAGACGAGACTTTCGTAAGCAGAGACGGGATGCCGAAAACCGCTTCATCAACAGGCGGGCTGAAGTTGTCATGGATAATGGGAAGGTTCGAACGGGGACGATTACTCAAGTTGTCTTCAAAGATGATACATTCTTGGTGCGTGTTACGTTTGACGACAAGTACTGGATATTAATCCATCCGGACAGTGAGAACGTACGGATTTTGCCTATGACATTGATGTTGCTCGTGATCCAGACTGTATTGATCTTGGTACAAGTGAGTTGACACAATGTTTTCCAGACTCTCGTATGCTTGTCACCAACATGGCGCTAGTTGTTCCTGTATGGGAAGCTGTCAAACTCTCTGCAGCATTTCTGTCGCGAGCTCCGCCATCAGTGCAAGACTCGAGTTCGACGGCAGATCCTCGCAATCGAAGGGAGATGTTGTTGCACAAGGATAGAGAATTGTGGGAGGCAGCTGAACGAGCTGAGATTCAAAAGATGGAAGAAAGGCGAGTTTGGGAAGTGGTCCCGAGGTCTGATGAAACACGAGGCAAAATTCTTGCGAGAGCGATGTGGGTTTATTCCTCAAAGAAAGATTTACATGGCAACATTCTGAAGAGAAAAGCAAGGTTGGTTGTGATGGGCAATCTTTTACCCACGTCCAAGGAGTTGTTTGCGCCGACGACGTCGATGGATAACATTCGGGCTTGTTACTCAGCATAGCGGCAGGAAATGGATGGATTATCGCCTTCCGAGATATCGCGGCAGCGTTCCTATACAGTGAATTGAACGAACCGATGTTCATGATACCGCCTGACATCATGGCTTTGCCTCCGAATGTTTTGCTCAAAGTAACCAAAGCGATACTAGTATGGGACGCGAACGGCTCCGCGACGATGGTGGGAAAAGCTGTCGGGAGTCGAGAATTCCTGCGCCTGTCACCGGGGACATGATGAAATTATTTACAGATATGAACACAACGGTTCAAGAATTCTCATTACGACATGGGTGGATGATCTTCTTATTGTGTGTGAAAATCAGGAAGTATGTGATCATTTTCTGAATCAGCTGAGCAAGGTATTTGATTTTTCTGGAAGTGAAGCAACTGGTACATTTCTTGGGATTCGTGTTCATCAAGATTTAAAGAAAGGGACTATCACGCTGAGTCAGAAACATTTCATTGAACAACTGATTGACAAGTTCGGAATTCCTCTGCGTTCAGTGTTTACGATCCTTCCTGGTTTGTACATGCGGACTTATCATCTTGAAGGAGAATTGCTCAGCTAGACAAATCTGCAGTACGGCAGTATCAAGCACTTCTTGGGACAATTCTGTATATCGCAAATGGCACAAGAGCAGACATTGCCTTCGCTGTTAGTCTTCTGAGCAGATTTTCGAGAGCGCCTCCACGGCGAGCAATACCCCCCCGCCTCAGCATCATCATTGGCATCATGGCATCGTGCCTCCATGCAGCACTGAGTGCGTTCGGGGCGCTATGGCGGGGAATTTAGGGGGGGCTGCATGCCATGGCAGCCGGAATGTCACGAGAAAATTCAAATCAATTTTTTGGCGGGCAAAGCTATGTTGTGCCCCAGCGGCGAAGAACTGAAAACATGCTCATCATGCCATAGACGAAGAGAGATGATCGGACCAGCATTCGAAAGTGCCATGGCCCTGCCAGTGTGTCTACTATGTCACAGTGTGCACATCTTGTGTTGGGCCAAGTTGCTAGGTTCAAAAACCACAAGACTCGCAATGATCTTGAGCAGCTGTTCTTGCTCTCTAAACCGCTAAAAGGTGGCACACTACCACTCGTAGCCTACTAGAGGGGGTAGTAGGTAGTCTCCGCATAATATAAGGGCCGTTTCACGCCGAGCCCAATGGTCGAGTTTGTCAGCAAGCGTGGTACTAATTTTACTCAAACAATTTGAAATCATCTGGACCAATGAAATAAAAGTACAATTTAATTCCAAAGGTCGAGATGGTGAACCGTTGCGGTCGAGTTTGTCAGCAAAATGAGTACCCTTAATTTAATATCATAAAAGAAGGGGTGGGTGGAGACTAGAGTTGGTCAAACTTTATCGTTTGAATTCAAATCGAAAAGGAGCCTAGGTTGTATGATAGCATCTAAATACTGGGATGCTTATTATGAAATATCGAACCCTTAGCATGGGCTACACACGATAATTTCAGTTTTAAAAACATGTAAATTTCAAATGAATTTAAAACTTCTGAAAAAACTCGAGCTTTGGGCTCGGCGTGAAACGGCCCTAACGGGTGTATCGTTTTTCACACACTACCACTAGCATCAGGTACCGGTGCTTGCGGCAGCTCTCTATGAAAAGATGATACAGGGGTGGTACTCGCAGCCTAGAGGGGGTAGTGCTTTCCCTCTCAGAGGTAGGTAGTCTCCGCACAATATAACGGGTGGATCGTTTTCACACACCTACCACTAGCATCAGGTACCGGTGCTTGCGGCAGCTCTCTATGAAAAGATGATACAGGGGTGGTACTCGCAGCCTAGAGGGGGTAGTGCTTTCCCTCTCAGAGCCTAAACCAGGTAGGTAGTCTCCGCATAATATAACGGTTGTATCGTTTTTCACACACTACCACTAGTAGTGCTTTCCCTCTCAGAGGTAGGTAGTCTCCTCATAATATAACGGGTATATAGGGGTGGCTACAGTAGGCTATATAAACTCAACTCAAAGAGGCTTCTGGCAGAACATTCGAATACGTTGAAAATGTTGGGAAGAGGAATGAGTTTCAGCATGCAGAAAAGAAGAGGAAGACTAGGAGGAGATAAGCAGCTGGTCTACAGTGTTGGTTGGGACAGGTCACGGCAGATCACGCTGTCAAGACCCCTCAGCATGTCCCCAACAGGATCAGCAAGCTGGTGGCCGTGGCAGTCAAGCATAATTGCCCACAAGGATGAAGTCATTGCCCTGAAGGATAAACTCATTGCAGACAAGGAAACGCAGCTGAAAGATCTCAAGACTCGCGAGGAAAAACTCATTGCAGAAAAGGAAACGCAGCTGAAAGATCTCAAGACTCGCGAGGAAAAACTCATTGCAGATCTCAAGACTCGCGAGGATAAACTCATTGCAGAAAAGGAAACACAGCTGAAAGATCTCAAGACTCGCGAGGATAAACTCATTGCAGAAAAGGATAAACTCATTGCAGAAAAGGATAAATTCATTGAAGAAAAGGATATACGCATTGCAGAAAAGGAAACACAGCTGAAAGATCTCAAGAGCCAATTGCTGCAACAGGAGATGCAAAGTCTCCAAGAATTATCGCGGGTCAAGGTCATAGCCAACAACCGAGCTCTGATTGAGATCGCCATGCAACAGTACAAGAGCGACTTGTCTCTCACGAAAGGTTTGGAGATGTTTGTGAACGAGCATTTGTTGACTGTAGGCCGTGACAAAACGACATTGAGTATGTATGGCAGAGAAGTCTGTAATAAGCTGCGAAACTTTGGCTTCGCAGCGAAGGAAGACTTTGTTCAGAAAGAACTTAAAAACCTCATGCACGAGATCTCAAAACCTTTACACAGACCGCACGTATCGGGTAAGATTTACACAGGGTATGTGGTTGGAGGGGAACCGCCGCTTGCAGAAGCGCTTGCGATCGTGATCTCAAAACTTCAAGAATGCAAGTTCGTGAAAAACCTGGATGTCCTGCTGGTCGATGGGGAAGGGAAATGCAAGTGCGTGCTGAGTAATGGAGACATCGTTGAATACGGTGAAGCGTAGTCTACGATCTACATGTCGTTATCAACGTGATGTATTGCTTTCTGCCAGTGAATGAGCCGGTTCCTCCCCTTTGAGAAGCCGACGCAGCCTCTTCGGGATTTTTTTGCATATAAACGAAAACAAAGAAGCGTATCCTTGATAGCAACGAGTTCCCTGTCCGTCGTGTCATGATTGCGCTCGGTAGCAGTCAACAGCCTGCTGTAGTATCCAACGTCGCGAGGGCCGTCTGGTCGCGCGAATGAGGAATCACTGGCTAAAATATAGGCTGAAATGATTCATTTCAGAGAGTACGCAGACAGGATTGCAGCAGGTCAGAATAACATGCAAGTAGTCAACGAGAATACATCAATGCACAGCAGCAGCTCGTGTGCCAGCTGCTCGTTGGTTATCCGGCCGGGCAGCGAAGACAGCCCGGACGCATTCGTCGAGGACGGTAGCTCTGCGAGCCTCGATCTGCTCTCCTGGGCGTCAGGGCTGATGTGTGACTCCGCGCGGTAGAGGGCGATTGATGCGCTCGGTGAGCTTGTACTCGTCCGGGACTTTCCAGTCCTTGAAGCGAGCAAGGTAGACGTTGAGCTGCTTAAGGAAGGGCCTCCACGAGCAATACCCCCCCGCCTCAGCATCATCATTGGCGTCATGGCATCGTGCCTCCATGCAGCACTGAGTGCGTTCGGGGCGCTATGGCGGGGAATTTAGGGGGGGCTGCATGCCATGGCAGCCGGAATGTCACGAGAAAATTCAAACTTGCCAATTTTTTGGCGGGCAAAGCTATGTCTGAAAACATGCTCATCATGCCATAGACGAAGAGAGATGATCGGACCAGCATTCGAAAGTGCCATGGCCCTGCCAGTGTGTCTACTATGTCACAGTGTGCACATCTTGTGTTGCCAAGTTGCTAGGTTCAAAAACCACAAGACTCGCAATGATCTTGAGCAGCTGTTCTTGCTCTCTAAACCGCTAAAAGGACTCGTAGCCTAGAGGGGGTAGTAGGTAGTCTCCGCATAATATAACGGGTGTATCGAAGTTTTTCACACACTACCACTAGCATCAGGTACCGGTGCTTGCGGCAGCTCTCTATGAAAAGATGATACAGGGGTGGTACTCGTAGCCTAGAGGGGGTAGTGCTTTCCCTCTCAGAGGTAGGTAGTCTCCGCACAATATAACGGTTGTATCGAAGTTTTTCACACACTACCACTAGCATCAGGTACCGGTGCTTGCGGCAGCTCTCTATGAAAAGATGATACAGGGGTGGTACTCGCAGCCTAGAGGGGGTAGTGCTTTCCCTCTCAGAGCCTAAACCAGGTAGGTAGTCTCCGCATAATATAACGGTTGTATCGTTTTTCACACACTACCACTAGTATCAGGTACCGGT